CAGCAGACATGGAAGATGAAGACTTGCAGTGAATTAGCACAGGGGATGAAGTGACTACCTGGATACTCTGTGAAGAGTTGGATCCCACCATGGGCTCTGTAAGGAGCACTTACTTGGGACAGACACCATTCAATACATGTGTATCAGAAACAAATTTTAAAATGTCTATCTGCCACCCAGGAGATCTCCAATAGGAGGGAGTGACAAGCATGCTAGCAGCATGTGTAGAAGACAACCACTGACTGCTGTAAAGCAGAGAAAAAATGGCTTTGTGTGGATATGGTGTTTGAAAAGTCTGAAATATCCAGAGAGCACACCCAATGCATCCTGCCACTAAACGTTGCATGGCCATCTTCATCTGCTGAAATTAAGTTAATACAGGCATCATCATGGAGGCAAATAGACAGAAGTTGGCAGCTGACAGCCTGAGCTTGGCTGTCTCAAAGGGGAGTTCCAGCTTGTCATTGACTTTGAACTCCAGATACTGTACTGGGCATTATGGTATATGTTGTTAATGTCCCTCAGTGTCATCTGACCTTGCTTTCAGGACAAAGACCCCTGCCCCAAACTACAAGGTAACCCTATCAGGGCATCTGGTTTTGTATTGGTAGTGGTGCACTTTACAGCCTCCTTTGCACCAGGAGGGGTGACCATCTTAGCAATGGAGAATGAAAACAAATGTGTGTAATTTGGGTGTTGTTCTGTTTAAAGATAGACATGGCTCACAGTGTACCCATTCCCCTCTCCCTTGTCCATCATGAAGAATCATAAAGGCAGAGTAGCCACCCTGAGTTCTGTCATTTGATCCACAAGCTCATCTCTGGACTCAGGTGACAGTGGGAGAGAGAAATGAGCCTCTACTTTATTTAACCTGAGAGATTTTGATGTCTTTTTGGTCCAGCTACTTGGAGTAATAATGAACAAACAAAATGAATTAAAGAAACATCTCCTCTCAGGAGATTGTGTGTGTCCAGTAGTCAATGAGTCTCTGCATAGACACTAGCTCGTAGATGGTCGGAAAGCTACATTGAAATAATTTGTTAAACTCCTCTGTACCTTGGACAGGCCGTATTTCCTTTCATTCATAGAAAGCAGCCAGCCTGCCTCAGCATCCCTTCAATGAGATAACAAATACCATCGCTTTCCTTTCACTGTGTCCTTTTCCCACGTACATAATTGGAGGCTTTGTGGGTAGGATCCTCTTTTTTTCTCATTTCAAACCCCATGGTGGCAGGAATCTGTCACTGTGTGGGTGACAGGAGTGAGATGAGAACTGGAGGTATGGTCTGAGGTTTCAGGAAGTGGTTATTTATATAGCCCCATTGGTACGCATTCAAGGTATTGAAAAATGAAGTATTAAATCCTGAGTTTTTGACTCACTAGTCTTTTGAGAGAAGGACTTTGGAGAACACAGGTGTGCAGTCTACTGAGCTCGTGGTTTCCTTTATAGTTTATTCTGGTAGAAATAAACCTTGATATTTTATCCCAAGAGTATTGCCTCCCAAAGAGCCCCCTGGGGCAATGTGTGTTTTAGGACTCCCACATGTGAATTCATTTTCAGGGATTCATCCTTGGTGATATCATTCACTCCGGTTTTCCTCTCCCCTCCTGGGATGATGTTTTCCAGACTTTTCTCTAGCTTCATCTTTTCCTCTCACTCCTAAATTGTGAGTATTCCTATATCACCCTTGAGCCTCCTTCCCTAACTATGAACTGGCCCCATGGTGGATATATCATGTAGGTTCCAATAACATCAAATCTTTTACTTCTGCCTCTCCTAGCAACCCCAGACTTACACACCCTAGCTGTTTGCATGAAATTCTACAGAGATCTAGAGCTCAGTGTGATAAAACAGAAGAAAGACAGGGTTTGAGTGATGGCTCAAGTGTTAAGAGCCTGCTCTGCTCTTCCAGAGGGCCCAAGTTCTGTTCCAGGTACCCATGTCAGGCAGTTCACAACTGCCTGTGACTCCAGCTCTGGGAGATCCAGTACCTCTGAACTCTGTGGGCACCTGCACTAATGTGTACATGCCTACCCATCTACCACCATATATAATTAAAGATAAAAATAAAACACCTAATAAAACAGAAGACAGATGAAACAAAATACCCACTTGTTCATCAAGCATATATGCCAATTGGGAAAATTTGCTAAAGGTAATGGTTTAATCTCCCCAATGCATTATGTCTCAAATACAGTACATTTATTTCTTCTTGTATAATATAAAAGACATTCCTGACTGGCAAGAGGTACTTCTCCAGGTTATATTTTAGGAAGCTAATCTCTTTAAGTACTCTGCTGAAATAGTTCATTTTGGTTTTCAACTTTATAGGATCCAGAATCCTCTAAGAGACAAATTTATGAGTTTACATAACTTTAAATGAGTTTGGATTAATTAAAGTGAGAAGACCTGTCCTAAATGCAGCAGTGCCATCCTCTGGGCTGGAGTCTGTGACTGCACACAAAGGGAAAAGCCCGCTGAGTGTCAACATTCACATCTCCCTGGTGTCTGCTTCCAATGCAATCTGACTTCCAGTGCCCCATGCTCCTGCTGCCATATAATTGGTGCCAAAGTGGACAGTGTTCTCCAACTATGAGTCAAAATTTTCAATTAAAACTATCATAAAATAATACAATATAAAATATAATGAAAATAAAATGATTTGCAATATGTACCCTATTAATAAACATGACAAAAGGAAATACATATGTAAAACATAAGAAATTATTTTTTTCTTTTATTGAAAATAGATTCTTTTCTCATACAATGTATGTTGGTTATAGTTCCCTCTATCTGTATTCCTCATGGTTACTCTCCATCTCTCCTTCCCTCCAGATACACTACCTTTCTGTCTCTCATTATGAAAAAAAGAAACAGATTTCTAAGAGATAACAATCAAACATGACAAAATAAAATAAGATGAAGCAAAAACTATCATACTGTAGTTGGACCTGTGTAAGGAAAGGTTCTTTGCCTGGCAGGTCCCACTGCCCTTGAGAACCCCCATATAAACACATAAGATTTATATTAACTATAAAACTTTTGGCTGGTGGATTGGGGTTCTTTTTGCCTAGCTCTGCCTTAATTATTAACCCATTTCTATTAATCTATGTATTTCCACATGGTCTTGGCTTAGCAGAGAATGTCTTGTGCATCTTTTCTTCCAAGGCTCTACAGGACAACTTTGTCTGCCTATGTTTCCCAGAATTCTCCTAGTCCTGCCTATACTTCCTGCCTGGCCAGTCAGCCAATCAGTGTTTTATTCATCAACCAATAAGAGAAACATATATCTATGAGAGGGGGCAACCCCCAACAGGAGGAAAAGGTCCCAAGAGTATGCACAAGAGTCAAAGATCCACTCGTTCTCACAGTGAGGAGTTCCATAAAAATACCAAGCTAATAGCTATAATATATAAGCAGATGACCTGGTACAAACTCACGTGGGCCTTGTGCTTGATGAGTCAGTCTTTGTGAGATCATATGCACCTTGCTTGATTACCCAACCAGTGTCAGGTGTGGGTTCCTACCTATGGAGTAGACCAAATCAGAAATTGGTTGGCTACTCCTACATGTTCTATGCACCATTGCCTTAGCATATTTTGCAGGCAGGACAGATTGTAGGCAAAAGATTTTGTGGTTGTTTTGGTGTCTGTGTTTCTCTTTCAGTAGCCTGCAGAGTACCTCCTGACCCAAAGAGTCTAGAAATTAGGGGCAAAGGCTCCATGTAGCTACCAGCTCCACTTTTCCATGTTCAATGAGTTGTGTGGTAGTTGTCCTCAGCAATGGAGCCCTATTACCGGTTTTCAGAGAGCAACCTTTTGTCTTAGCAATAGTCTGTGTTGTTTCTTAATTTCCAAGGGATACACTTGGTCAACAACTCAATTGAATGCAATCAAGTCTTGCCATCGGTAGCCTAGTCTTGCTACATGAGATGCCCAGTTGAGACTCCATATTCCCCATTACTAGGAGTCCTCATTAGAATCACCTTTACAGATAAGGTTTTCTTCCATACTACATCCCAAATACTCTCCAATTCCAAAGCCGTTTCTCCCATAGATCACTCTCTATCAGAGAGTACAGTTGTTAAAAAAATCTTTTCCCATTCTCTAGGCTGCCATGTTGTCCCATTGACAGTGCCCTCTGCCTTACAGAATCTCTTCAGTTCCATGATATCTATTTACTGTTGATGTTAGTGCCTGTATTATCAGTGTTAAATTCAGAAAGTCATCTCATGTGACAATGAGTTCAAGGTTATTCCCCATATTCTATTCTATCATGTTCATTGTGGTTGTTTTTATGTTGAGGTATTTGATCCAATTGGACTTGAGTTTTGTGCATGGTGAAAGATATGGATATATTTGCATTCTTCTGCATGTAGACATTCAGTTTGACTAGCACAATTTGTTGAAGATGGTATCTTTTTTTCCAGTGTGTATTTCTGGCTTCTTTATCAAAAATCAGGTGTTCATAGGTGTGTGGAATTTATGTCTAGATCCTCAATTCCATTGATCAATGTGTCTGTTTATGCCAATACCATGTGGTTTTGATTACTATAGGTCTGTAATACAACTTGAAGTTGGGAATAGTGAGAACTCCAGCAGTTATATTAGTGTTCAGGATTGTTTTACCTATCTTTTTGTTTGTTTCTCCATATGAAGTTCAGAGTTGTCCTTTCAAATTCTGTAAAGAATTGTGTTGGAATTTTGATGGGGATTGCATTGAATCTGTAGATTGCTTTAGGTAGGATGGTCAGTTTTACTATGTTAATCCTACTGATCTATGAGCAGGGGAGATCTTCCATCTTCTGATATCTTCTTCAATTTCTTTCTTCTGAAGATAGACTTATCATACAAGTATGTCACTTGCTTAGTTACAGTTACACCCAAGATATCTAATAGAATTTGAAGCTATGGTAAAAGGTGGTTTTTACCTGATTTTTTCTCAGTCCACCTGAATATAAGCGAGCTACTGATTTTTTGAGTTCATCTTGTATCCAGCCACCTTGCTAAAAGATTTTTATTATAAGAAATGAAAATTTTAATAAACAAACATGATTTTTAAGTTCTGAGGAAAAAAATCTTCATCCCTGTACTAGCTTGGTCTCTGTTGCTGTGATAAAATATTGCTCAAAACTAACTTGGGGTGGATGGAAGTGTTATTTCATTTTAGAATTTATATTACATCACAGAAGGAAGTCCGGGAAGGAGATTGAAGCAGAAACCATGGAGGAAATCTGCTTACTTGTTTAATTATCTGGCTTGTTCAACTAACCTTCTTATACAGGCAATATTAATAAGCCCACCTACCTACAGAAAGCACTGTGTGTAGGGTTTTCCCACACCAATAAGCAATTGAGAAAATGCCCCATTGACATGTCTACAGGGCAATTAGATGGAAGTCCCTTCTTCTCAGTATTGTGTTCTGGTTTGGGTTATGTTCATAACACAACTAACCCCTCAAGTTGCTTCTTGCCAGGTACTTGCTCCCAGCAATGAATGGCTAGTATATAGTCCTATCTATGGAGATGAATGAAGAACAAAAGGCTCATGCATTGAAGTCAAACTGTAAGGAAAGTCTAAGAAAACAGCTACCTAGTCCCCGACACACTTCACCATTTTGCTCAGCAAATGTCCATTCCCCCTCCTTGCTCTCTGACATAGAACACAGTTCAAAGTCAAGGATTTCTAGCTGAAATCTTCATGATCAGTCCTGGATGGTACCTTAGAACCACACTTCAAGCCACATAACTTGCCATCCTTTGGAAACCCTGATCTCTCAATTCCCTATATATGTTTGGTGTCTACTTCCAAATAACCAACTTTTGCTTGTGCTGGACTATTTCTTGTAGTACTTTATAAACAGTGGTCAAGAGTATCCACATATCAGAAGTAGAATAAGCATTTCTACTGTGATCATAGTTATATGCATGGAATGGTTATCAACCTAGCCCTACCCATGATGCCACATTTATTGTGAACCATTTTCTGTATTGACCATGCCAGCAAATGTGTAAACTGGTGCTTTACATGTTGTGATTAAGGTCCTTATAATCACTTCAAGTATGAAAATGACTTGTGTTTTTGACTTACATGGGAAGTTTTAAATATATTTTCTTCAAATAGGGCTTCCCAATGTCACTCACCTGACTTTAATTCTCTGCATGGCAAGTGCAAGGCATTCTTATTTCATTTTCTATTCTCCCAATCCCTCACTTCCTTTCTTCTCTCTTCCACTACAATGCAAGCCAAACACATGTTTAGTTTTATTCCAGACCTATTATATCCATAGATAAGAACAATACATCTTTTACAAAGATTTTCCCTGCAGTAAATTTTACAAGAAATCTAGAATTGGAAGAGATTTTATTGATAATTAATGCTTTCTGTTCCTATTTTATTACTTAACTAAATTAGTACCAGAAGTTTCACGGTCTGGTGATATTTGAAACACTGCTTTTGTATCTATATGTTCTATGATTATGTGAAGTGATCTATTTAACATGTCCAAATGTCATTCTTGGATACCAAGCATTGCCATACTGTATTCATTTGCAGTGTGTGACTGTCTTCGGTACCATTCTATTGCTGTGAAGAGATAACATGACCAAGGTAACTAATAAAAGAAAGCCTTTAATGCGGGATTACTTGCAGTTTCAGAGGGTGAGACCATGAATATCAATCAGGAAGTCAGGCATGGTGAGCATTCACATCTGATCCATAAGTTGCAGGCAGGGAGAGAGACTGTGCCTGGCATGGGCTTTGGAAATTTTAACGCCTGTGGTCAGCAATATGCCTTCTCAAACAAGGCCACACCTCCTAGGACTTCCTAAGCAGTTCATCAACTGGAAATGAAAAATTCAATATATGAGCCTATAGGGCCATTTGTATTTAGATCACTGCGGTGGTCGTCATGTGCCTCCTCTTCACTCAAACTACTCATTTGGTGAATCAAAAATAAATTCATATAGCCAAATAGTAACTCAGTCTTTCAGTGATCTGATTCAACCAATAGATACATAATTTTTGGCTTTAAAACATCATTATTCGTTTAAGCTAATATACCAGGACTTGACAAACTACAACCCATGAACAAAACCCTGCCTTGTGACTTTGTTTTTAAAAGTCCTATTGGAATACAATAGCAAACATTCCTTCACATGTTATCTAATGCTGGTGACAGAAATGTGACATTTGATGTTGGGGAGACAACTCAGTCTATAAAATGCTTCCCACACTTTCATGAGGACTTGAATTTGATTCCCAGAGCCCACACAAAATGCCTGATGTGGGGGTAATCACATCACTGAAAAGGCAAAGACAAAGACATGTGGATCTCTAAAAGTTGCTGGTCAGTCATTCTAGCCTATTCAGTGACTCTGTGACCAGTGAGAGATCATGTCTCCCCCAAATAAGGTGAACTATATAGACAAAGTTGACTTCTGGCCTCCACACATATACATACAGAAAGAGAGAGAAAGAGAGAGAGAGAGGTGATGATTGTCCCCCAAAGCCTAAAATATCTACTACCTAAAATACTTGTCATTTTCTATTATATATATATATATATATAATATCATGATTATATAAATATATATAATAGATAGGTAGAGATAGAGATAGATTAATAGTATTTTCTCATAGCAGTTGGCTCCTGTGAGACAGAGAAGTCTCTTGACAGGCTGTCAGAAAGCTGGAGACACCGGGATGCCAGTAGCATGGTTCAGGCCAAGCCCAAAAGTATCAGAACCAACGAAGCTGATAGTTTAAGCCGAAGGCCCTAGAAGGCAAGGCATGTGGATGCTGGTACAAATCCTAGAGTTCTAAGAGATACTAGGATTCTAACACCTAGTGGTTGGAGGAAAAGAAACCTGTTCCAACTCTAAGGAAGAGAAGAAATACTCTTCTCTAGCATTTTGTTCAGGGCATTTTTTTCTGGGCCCTTGGCTGATCTGGTGATGCTTACTATCTTAGTTAGGTGTCCTTTTGCTGGAAAAAAGAAAACACCATGAACAAACATCAAGTTGGGGAAGAAAGGGCTTATTTGGCTCACACTTCTATATTGCTATTCATCATTGAAGGAAGTCAGGATAGGAACTCAAACAGGGCAGGAACTTGGAGGCAGGATCTGATGCAGAGGCCATGGATGATGCTGCTTGCTGACTTGCTTCTCTTGGCTTGCTCAGCCTGCTTTCTTTGAGACTCCAGGACCACAAACCTAGGGATGGTACCACCCACAGTGGGCTGGGCCCTCCCTACCAATCAGTAATTAAGAAACTGCTGTACATCCAGATATTATGGAGGCATCTTCTCAATTGAGGTTCTCTCCTTTCAAATAAGTCTAGCTTGTATCAAATTGACATAACATCAGCCAGTACACTTACACATGGAAGGCAAATCTTCCCCACTCAGTCCACTGACTCACATACCAGGCTTTTCTGGAAATATTCACAGCCACACTCAGAATTAATGCTTGATTGGTCTCTATGAATTCATGAATATTATCAACACCTTGACAGTATAAGCCAGCAAATATTAGGCTCAATCAGCAATTGCTTTATACACATTGATTTAAATGGGAATAATGGAACTCATCGATAATAAATTAGTGACATGGGAAGACAGAAAAGCAGAAGGAACCAGGTGGATAACAGGTCAACCCTTCCTTAATTCTGTAATTTTGCCAAATAGCTTATCCTGTCCACTCATCCATTTCCATATACCTAAACTATAAAAGATGATCCACCCTTCACTGTAAAAAAAAAAATCAGGAGTCATATGTGTAGTTCTAGAACTTTATGTGTCTCATGCAAAGACCTTACTAACAGGGCACTGGTACTGTCCATTTAAATTATCACTAATATTTTAAATAACTTACCAACTGCAAATTTCAGCTCTGCTAGAATTCATTAGCCACTAAAGTGAACAGTTTGTGCCACAGCAACAGGTTTACATAAGGGGGATCAACAGACCAAAGTAACTATTATACCAGAGGTCAACTTGGTGAACCAATGAGCACAATAGGGTTTCTTATAGGAGCATGGACAAATCAAAGGCAGTGACATTACTTAAAAAGCCTGCCTCACCATGGGTGACAACTCAGGAAAGTCTCAATGCAGGAGCTCTCCCTGCACAATTTGAAGACAGGTCAAAATGTCAGAGATGTCCTACTGTCAGCTCAGCCTGTTGGTTTCCTTTCCCAGGAGGTATTTGCTGCCTCCATTACCTTGGGGGCAGAATCTTTTAAATCTTGCTGGTTTCAGGAACTTCCTAAGATTTATAAGTTTACAAAGTCTCATGAGCCTCCTTCATCTCCCCGCTGGTTGAAACTTTTCAATTTGGAGGAGATTTCTATATAATAATGTGACTATTAGACATCAAACAATGGTTTATATATTACCTCCCCTCATAGCACAGAAATAAGGTGCACAGATACAAAGGAGCAGCCAGGCCTGCCATGGAACACTTCAGTGATAGTTCACCTTGAGTGTCAACTTGACTGGCTTTAGAAACACTTAGGACACATACCACTGGGCATGTCTGTGAAAGTGTTTCCAGAAGGTTTAATGGGGAAGCAAGGCCCATCTTAGATGTGGTGAACACCTTCCCATGGGCTGGGGTAGCAGATAGAATAAAAAGGGAAATAAGAGAGAATGAGCCAAGCATTAGCAGTCATCTGTCCCTGCTTCTTGACTGAGTGCAATGAAATCAGCTCCTCCCCACTCCCAACACCATAGCTACAGCAACTTCCATAGAAAAGCATTTCCTACCATGACGGGCTGTACTCTCAAACTGGGAGCCAGAGACAGAACAAGCTGTAAAGCCGTAACAAGCTGTTTCTCCTCCTCCTCCTTCTCCTGCTTCTCCCCCCTCTTCTTATAATTTATTTAACCTTAATTTTATGTGCATTGGTGTGAAGGTATCAGATCCCTTGGACCTGGAGTTACAGACAGTTGTGAGATGCCCTGTGGGTGCTGGGAATTGAATCTGGGTCCTATGGAAAGAATAGCCAGTGCTCTTAACGGCTGAGGCATCTCTTCAGCTGTTTCTTCTTAAAATTGCCATTGTCAGCTATTTTGTCACAGCAAAAAGAAAGGGCACTAATATGCCTTTGCCTTCCCCATTCCACACTGGAACACTAGAGCTGGGAAGATGCAAAGCTCAAGTGTTTTCCCCCACCCCTACACTTCCCTTTCTCAGTTCTATTCAGGCATAATTTGACTCTCACGATACTCAAATTCTTTTCTTGTGATTCTCCCTACAGTGACATCAACTGATGAGAACTTGAAACATCAGATCCTTAAGAGGTCTGAGATCAGGAAGATGAGGACATTGTTAGGAGGAAGAGCATTTCATGGATGGTAGGAGATGTTCAAGTGTGTCAAAAGGAAGGAAGACATCATGGGTGACACTGTGGAACAGGTTTGAATTTGTTTTCAGAAGTGGGCCTTCTCTCTTGAGCTTGTTCATATTTCTAGAGGTGTCCTCTCTTTTCACCAAGGGGATTATAGGATGAGATAAAGCATAAGAGCAAAAACAGCCATGCACACCTCTCAACAGGAAATACAAGCTAGAGATTGACAGTATGCGATAAGTCACATGTCACTTACCCTCTGCGATATAAACTTGCACCCTGCCAAGGAGATCTAATTAATATGCTCACAAGTCAGAGCACAATGAATAAAAAAAATAAAACTGTGCGTGATACTTTCTGCAAAGAGGGAATTTTAGTCCAATTTCTGTGACAGGCAAGAAAGCAGGAAATGAAACGTTAAATGTTGAAATGTTGATGACAGCCCAGGGTGGACCAAAAAATCTGCTACATCTGGAGAACTTATTTGGAGACCATTAGCTAGCCTGTCTGCTTCCTCCTCTTGTCTGTCTCACCATTTTGAGGCAGGTTTGAATCAAGGGGTCTCTAGCTTTGTTAGATTACACCTGAGAACATGATGTTTGTTCAAAAATACCACTTACTGTTCTACTCTGGTTTTGGGGTGAAAGAGGCCTCTTACTGGAGAGTCTGTGTTGAACTTTCCAGGGGCCTTAAAAATCCCACAGGGAGGAGAGTCATGGTCCTTCCTCCCTAGAGAGGTCCTGGAGGATACTTCTGCTTTTTGTTCAGCTTCTTGTTCAGATGATCAAAAGTGCCACTGACGTACACAGGCTGTTAAGGAAGACCACTGTGTACCTACGCACTCCAGTAGGTTCAGAAAAGATGAGTTTTCTGTGGCATAAAACATCCTTGAAAGAGGAAGTAATGCAGCAGCATGTGGACCACCGACTCTTTCAAACCAAAAGAAAGCAGCTTACAAATTCTGATGTTGTGCAATTTTACCAAATCATATTTGATGGACAGCCCATTGCAGTATATTTGAAAACAAATGGAACTCAATTGACTGCACATTCAGTATGCACCTGGATCTGGCATAGAGTTGAATAACACAGCAGTGCTTTTGTTGCCCCTGAGACAGTAGGTGTGGCTTGTAACCTGAATTTCTTCTACCCTAATGTCCCAATCCAGACGAGGTATGCTAACAGTCAATGAGACTGTGATTCTCCTGGCTTTCTTTAGCTCATATCTTGTGTGAATATGGTGCCACCCTTCTGTTGCTGGGAATTCTAGGGGTGGCTCATCTGGGTTGATGAACAGCCATCACCTGGGCTTTCACTGAACATGTGCCCCTAAATTTTTCTACAGTATTTTCATATATTTCATTCCATTTTTCTAAATAAATATGTGGCCTTATTAAAAATGCTCTACCGTCTCATTGAGTGTGAAAAAGCATATAGAAAAAACATGGACACTCCTCTACAGTAAACTGCATCCTGCCACTCACTACCTCTCATGCTCTAAATGAAACTGGTACCCTTCCTGATGCTGATGTTGTAGCACACATGGGTAATAACATCAGCTCTTGCAGTATCCATGGACAATGCCATAAATTCCTTGCAATTCAAGATTTCACTCTGTCATAGATCCTGTGGTCATGTGGAAGAACAATGGGATAATGGCTGTCTGCATTCATTCAGAGGCCGACTTGAAGCAGGAAAGTTTATGTGGGTTTTGTTGTTGTTACTGTTTTTAAGACAAGGTCATACTATATAGCCCTGGCTGGGCTGGAACTCATTGTACAGACAAGTCTAGCCTCAAACTCACAGAGATCTTTCTGCCTCTGCTGGCATTACATGTTCATCACCATGCCTGCCAATGTCTTAACATTTTAAAGGGACTGAAAAAATCAGCACTTTCAACATTTAAATTTTGCACTACTCTATTTCCAGCTCTTCTTTTCTCATTCCAGGACTTGAAACAGGTCCTCAAGTTCAGGGCAAAGACACGATAGACTCTCAGATACCAAGCTGTGTTCAGAGTCATCAAGGCACTAATTCCCTTCTACTGAATTGATAGCCTGGTCTCAGTGTTGTCCTTTGTGTTTTCTTACCACATTCTTGGATGAATGTGCTCCTGGAAGATTAACCAACCAGTCTGTTTCATGTACTTAAACAGGTTGACTAAGCACATCTAGGGTTGTTCATACTTAAAGATTTGAGTCACATACACTTTGAATGAGATATACTTAGATCCCTGTGTGGCAAGGTTCTTTCTAATACCTACTTCTATTTAGCCACTATTTCCCAATGGACTTCATTTTTCTGTGCTTTCTCATATTAACCCTACCTTCCATCTAACTCATATGTAGCAACGAAGCAGCAATGAAGTTGCTTGACTATGCTATGTACCATCTTACCTCAATACCCTCAGTCACCTTTTTTCTTTTCCTTTTATTTGATCATCTATAACCAATAATCTCCTACTAGTCTTTCAAGAGTCTCTTGAAATGCTTCCTATATCCCATACTTGCTCCTCTGGAGGTGGTTTCATTGCTGTTTCCATGATATCCTGTGCCTCTATTTGAGTACCACTGAGCCCATTATAGTCTAGTGTTACTTTCACCTGTCTAGATCCTCCAAATTCTGAGCTATTCTAGGGCAAAAAAGAGAAAGTATTACTTTTTGTTCTCTATTCCTGGCATAGGATTTGGCAGAAGTGGAGGCTCACAATTATTGAGTGGAATTCTGGCAGAGGTCCAAGCTCACACCAAGCAAAACCATGGTGAACATCACCTGGGTTTCTATGGTAGATACTGGAAGAGACTGTCATGTCATCTCTGGAAGCCGCATGCTGCAACATGAGTGTGGAGTGTGTGTTTGACTGCTGATTGCAACCCTTTTGAAAGTCAACACCAGAATCCAGTGCTAATACTAATCTAACACTAAGAATGGAAGGTAAATGAAGGCCAGATGTGAACATCATTTCTGGACCTTGTACTCCTTAGACACTCATTGGAGACTGTGAAAACCCCTCTTAGCAACTGTGCATAAATAAACTCAGAGTGAAGTAGACATGGTGTGCTGAAGCAATCACCGGAAATGCCAGGGTGACCTCTTGGAGGAATGACCACAAATGGTGAAGAAATCAAACAAACCACAAAAAAATGATATGTCAAAACAAAATAACCAGAGAGACAGAGAGAGACAGACAGAGAGAGAGAGAGAGAGAGAGAGAGAGAGAGAGAGAGAGAGAGAGAGAGAGAGAGAAAGAGAAAGAGAGAAAGAGAGAGAGAAGCCAGTGCAGCATACAGCATCTTCATAGATGCTGAGGTTCCTCTGAAGGGTGCATAGGGGACCCAGGATGATACCCAAATCAATGGATACATGCATCATGCATTCCTTACAGTCAGGCATTCCTGCTTGTGGGGGTTCCTCTGGTCTATAGATGGGGTGTGCTGGCTTTAGTAAATTGGAATAGCTCTTGAGAACCTCCTCTTCCAATAGTTGTAAGCAGAGATGCTGGAAAACTCATTTCTTTAAGACAACCTAGAAAGGATGGAATTATTTTCAGTTTGATTAGTATGGGAAGTCAATTTCTAAAATGGGATGTCTGTAATATATTGGCACCCAAGCCCTTACAGGATGGATATATCTTCACACATTCTTTTCTTCACCATCCCTGACTTACTCCAAACATTCTTATTTAGAGTCCTCAGTATACAGCGCTCAAGCAACAAGTGATGAAGTTTTGCTCCGGTTATCAAGAAAGCTGTTCAAATCATATGCGCTTTGAATGCTTCTTTCATCATTCAAATTATTGTGTAGGAACAAACTGGTTCTTTTTCATGTACGTATGAATCATATACTTGAGTCATAATAATTTGTGGCTTCTCAGTTTGTGCAGCACATGGCTTTTGTCTATTTAAAGAAATGGTTACATGTCAAGAATTTATTTTCAACTTTTTATGATGAAACATTTCAAATGTTAAAAAGAAATCAAAGTAGCAGAGTAAATTTACATATACACATCACTAATTCCCATAGTCCCCTATCCATGAGAAATCTGGTTTTACCCCATCACACACACACACAAACACACACACACACACACACACACACACACACACACACACAACACACACACGTCTTCTGCTTCATACACATTATTTTAAAATTAATCTTCTATGTTACTTTTCCTAGGGACAAGTAAATAAATATCTATTCATCCAACATAAGAAACCAATAGCAAAGAAAGGATACTAATTTATCAGTTATTGTGATGTTAATATGACAAACACCTGACAAAAACAATAGAAAGATGGCAGCAGGGTTTCTTTTAACTCACAATTTTGTCCATCATGGTGAGGAAGTCATGGTGACAGAAAATTGAATTAGCTGGTCACATTGTATCTGCAATCAGGAAGCAGAGAGCAATGAGCATTCCTGTTAACTAGCTTTCTCCTTTATATGCAGCCCTTTTCCCCAGCTCGTGGAAAGATGCCAGTCACAATCAGGATAGGTCTTCCCATCTTGCTTAAGGTAAATCTAGATAATAACTTCCAAACATGTCCAGAGGCTTGTCATCTTGGTGATTCTAGATCCTGTCAAGTTGACAATCGTTGTTAGCCATCACACCATCCAAATCTGGCTTGCTGAAACAATGGCTTCAATGAGGTTATTTACAGTTATTATGTCTGCATATTTGAGCAGTTACTTACAGAGCCTGACTGATTCTTGGCAGCAGTATCACCAGCAAGTTCCACATCTTCCCCCTACAGGGTACATTTATCTTGGAAGCTGGCCACTGAAAAATCTTAACCTCCAGTCAACCTTCTGCCTCATATATACTTCAGCCCCCCCCCACCCTCATTGTATACAAGCAAGACCAACAGCATCATCTAATAAGGGAAATCTTAAGAAAGAGCCTTTCTCCCTTTTGCCACATAGCTGCTTGCTACATTTCTATGTCTAACACAAAAGCCATGGTTTTCTCTCTTTCCTCCATCTCCTTCCTCTGGACAGCTGCCAAGATTTACAGCTTGCCTGCCTTGCAGCTTTCCTTTTTCACTCTAATAGTATAGTCCTATAGTTTAGACTAAACTTATTAGCTATGGTGGGTTGAATATTTTACACTTTTCCTGCCTTGTCATTTTCCTGAAGAATGTGAAATCTCTCACTGTGGCTTCTTATCTGTCATAGGAATTTTTTTTTTTTTTTTACCCCATACCATTCAATATCACTTTGTGGCATAACATAGAAAATTGCTGTTTTAGTAGAAGATAGGGCTGTTTCACCCACAAATTCCTTTGGGTAGGGGGATAACTAACATGGGTGGTTGCAGAATGGGAAGTGGGGTCATGTGAAAAGTGCATTGAATTTTACTCAGTGAGCTGTGAACTAAGGAATAACATGGTCTGTCTTAAGCTTTTTAAGCATCAATCTAGCGGCATCATGAATCCAAGATGGAGTGTGCAAGGAACAGAAGCAAGGAGATTCACTAAAAGTCTCTTGTTGATTATCCAGGCAGAATGATATTTTCCTGATTGAGGTATAAAATGGTAGAGATTACAAGAAATGGTCAGATGGACCTATATTTTGAAGAGTCCTACAACATTTTCTGATGTATCATTATATGATTTTATTTTGTATAGTACTTATAAATTTTCACTGCCTTGTGTTCAATCTTCATTTGTTCCTAGCGTTAAAACATATTCTTTGAGAATTTCATAGAGCATATCTTGCCATACAGTTTCACAACCCGCAACTTCTTCCTGATGTACCCCCCACTCTAACCTACTTCAATTTATGTTTTTTTCTCTCTTAAAAAAACAATAACAAAAGACAAAAGCCACTAAAAATCATGAAGTCTGATTTGTACTGGCCATCTACTCCTGAGCATGGGCCTGCTCTTGAATGTGGTTGACATACTCGGTGTCACTTCTTCCTGAGCAGAGAAACTGCATATGTAGACAGTGATTCACAACTGGACAACATACAGAGACTGGGAGACTTGGGAGTGCTCAACCCTTAACTGTATGCATCTGTCATGTCTCTCACCTCAAGGCCCAGGGATCTATGCTGAAGAGGAGGTAGAAAGACTGTAAGAGCCAGAGGTGGTGGGTGATTTTAAGGCAATAGCATTTCCCAGACACAGCATGGCTGATACACATATAACTCACAGAGACTATGACAGCTCACATAAGACCTAGACAAAACTCTAGAGTTTAAAGGGGAAGTGAGCGCAAAGTCCTACCCTGAGCCAAGCAGCCATTTACAAATGATAGCTACTAGGAGAGGGAAAAATTGGTTTCTTCAATCATGTTTTAAATAGTTTTGGGGTTATTTAAAAGAAGTATATAATTTTTTAAACTCTGTTTGTTGTTGAATTTGCTTCCTGAGAAACAGTAGTCCTATTGAGGAAGCTTTAGCTTTTATCTGTGTCTTGAAGTGTTCTCCCTCCTTTTTATCTCACAGCTTCCGGGTTTAATGTCTTCTGTTAAAACTGTTGATCCACACTGAAATTACATTGTCTTGTGCAAGGTGAGCAACAGAGATCTAGCTTTATTCTTTTACTTGGGGGTAACTTAGCTAGGATTTAATGGCTGTGAAGAGACACCATGGCCATGGCAACTCTTATAAAGGAAAACATTCAACTGTAGCTTGCTTGCAGTTCTGAGAAACATGGTGGCATGCAGGCAGACGTGGTGCTAGAGAAGATGCTGAGAGTTCCACATCTTGATCTACAAGCACAACAAGACCATGCTTCTTAATACTGTCACACCCTATAGGCTTATAGGGAGTAAATTTCTTCAAACCACCACACTGAATATCCAGTTTTCCAAGAACCATTTATTGGAGAGGCAATATTTTCTTGAATGGTTTTCTTTTAATCTTCGTCAAAAATCAGGTAGCTACACTTTTGTCAGTTTGTATCTGTGTTTTCTAATTAGTCCATTGATACAGGTGTTTTTATAGCAGTATGCAATTTAAAAGCTTCTGTGTGACAAAAGAAAAAGTTAAACAACTGAAAAGTGAGGCAGGCCACAGAATGGAAAGAAATATTTATTAGCTACATATCTGATAGAGGATTAATATCTAGACTATACAAATCTATAACAAGCCAAAAACCTCGTAACAAAAAATCGAGCAACTTAATCAACAAATAGGTTAAAGAAACTGACAGTTTTGAAAAGATTAACTACGAATTCAATAAACATTAAAAAAAAATGTTCAGCTTCAGTAGCCATCAGTGAAATGTAAACCAAAATGTATTCTATACCGAGATTCCATTTTTACTCTAGTAAGAATGACCATCCTTGTGAAAAAAGTAACTTTCCAGTACCAGGCACGAGTGCTATCTTGTTGAGCAGGCTTAAGTCCAATTAGAGAATGGTTAGGTACCACCACGGTGATGTATGTGTGCCACTACTGCATCCTTAGGATTAATGTGCCATGCTTGTCATTGTTGAGGTTCACAAGCATCATAGGTAGGTAGGGAAACCAACTGTTTTGTCTTCTTTGGAAGCTTGCATTACAATGTTCTCAGGGAGGAGGCTTTTATGTCAGACTCAGCTCTGGTCCTCTGGGTCTTGTGTCTGAAGTATATACATGGTCTCTTCAGCAACAGAGACTTAACCTTTCACCTCTTGGGTAGGGCAACCAAGACTAATTATCAATAGTCTATATGTTTTGGTAGTCTCTTGAACAACTTTGAGCAATAATTCAAAAGCGGGCATCTCATGTCTGGTGTTGGTTTTTTTGTGTTGTTGCTAGTCTATGGCTCAATCTAATATGCATATGAAATACATATGAAATATATATATGAAATTCATATGATATAATATATCATATATATGATATAATAATATATCAATTTCACTTATATATGGTAATATATATATATATATATATATGTTTGAAAACAATTAGCAGCAAGAATGAGGACAAAAGGGAATAATTATCAACTTCTCTTGGAGGTATAGTATATAGCCTCTGTGGAAGTCATTATAGATGTTTCTCAAAACCTGAAAACTAGATTTTCTGAATCCTGAGGTACATCATTCCTGGCTGTTTATATCAAGAACCCTTAGACAACATGTCATGGAGATACATCTGCATTTAGGCCTAATGCAGCACTGTCTACAACAGCTTAATTACAGATTCAACATAGGTGTTCAACAGCACAGGTTGGGATGAGTGGTATCCACATATACGCAGGGGACTTTTTCAACCTTAGTGAACAAAACTGTGATTATAGAAAAAGGGTTAGAGAGGGAGACAATCATATTTAGCAAATTAAACCTGTCTCAGAAAGCCATGTATCATGTCTTCTCTTACTTGTGGTTCTCTCACTTTATGTAGATAGATAAAATCATGGATGAATATATAACATGAAGTAGATAACTTTTAGGGTGCCTAACAAGAGGGGAGAGGCAATAAGGAGGGTGAGTGTAGGGCAATATTCTCAACATAGAATAGATACCTGTAAGGAACTTTTAAAGCAAACACTTTTTAAAAATTCAGTAACTAACGCACTACCACTTGATATTTATGTTTATTGAATGATTATTTGAAGAGCATAGTATTTATCTTCTAGCTGTGAGAAATGAGAGTGAGCTGATGTCTTGTTGAAGAAAATCTCAGTCCAACTGCCTTATGATTCATTCTTCTCATTGCTTTCAGGGGCCATGGCTCACTGATTCTTTGGCCTTCGGCATCAAGTGTCATGAATCATGTTGTCTCTATTTGAAAGAACTTTTCAACTTAGGAATGTCCAGTCATGGCCGAGCTCTCTTTGTCTCTTTAGTTTGTCTTTGATCCAGAGTAGAAATGGACTCATACCTATATTTATAATATTTAACCAGAAATCAATTTGAAGCATCCTCCATCATTTAATTTTTCCATCCTGTAGCTGTTCTTATCTTCTTGGGAATGGATCCTTTATGTGTCCCCAAGTGTCTTGAACAAGCCCATTCCTGAATGACATATAAAGAGAAGCCCCTGTGCCCATGCTTACAGGGCCATTTGTTTCTGTACTTTGCTTATTGCTTTCCTGATGACTCTAAGATGATCTCATGTGTGCATCACTTTTTATGAGTGTGACTGTGGGACAAAGGGCACACTTTCCTTTCATCTGAAAGCTTATTGAAATGAAGTAATAGTAGATGAAGTAGAGTGAAGAGACAGGCATTTAGCATTCACATGGAAGAATCAACCAGTGTGATAATTACCTAGTAACTCAATGAAACCCAGGTGTTGGTGTCTCTGTAGGGAAGGGGGAGTCTATAACAGAATAATTTTGAAGAGTAGCAATTGATTATTGAAAGTAATGAATTAAGAGCCAAAATTGGTTTACAAATGTTTTTCTTCAGAATGGGAATGCCCATGAAGGACAGCCCTTACCCAGTGACAAAGTATACATGCCCTACTGTGTTTGCATCTCCTGATCGTTGTTGTTGTTATTTATAATCCTGTTACTTCATGCCAATTTGTATATTGTTTTAGGGCAGTTAAGTGAAGATCCCCACTTTAGTTCTGGATCTATGATGTCACTCCACTAAGCACATGGCTATATTTACTATATTCAACCAGAAGTCAGTTTGAAAATTCTCCAACCAGCATTTGTTTTTACCATCCTGCAGCTTTCCCTAACTTTTTCAGCATGTGTCCTTTCTATGTCTCTGTTTC